TCACTCTAACGGAAGGTGTATTAGGATATACAAGTTCGCAGGGAGGGCATAGACTTATAGTCTACTATCTTCGAATAGAATATCTCGAGCCTCATAGCCCGTGTAACGCCCCAGCCCGGTCGTCACCAGGACACCAGGCAGGACACCCCGCAGGCGATCGGACGCGCCGCACGGACCCACAGGATCACTCACGTGACCGTGACCAGATCACGATTCTTAAAGTGATCCGGTCACTAACCACACCGTGACCCAAGCAACAGGATCACGACAAGAAAGGTGAGCCATCCAACATGGACTCACCAACCCAACACGACAAGGACAGAATGACAGGTATATAAGGACGGGCATTCGGTACTTGTAGATACATTCTTTCTCACGACAGTGATCAATCTAAGTCTTACCTTGTATTCATTGTAACGAGTGCGCAACGCCTTACGACACCACATCGTCTCAGAGTCACAACCTAAGCTTCTGCAAACAGCAACCCTAACCCTCTGACAGCGTTCCCCCTTCGGAAGCTGCCAGGTCGTAACAGCAAGGTTCTACTAACCCCCCTAAAACTAAGCTATAGCGGGCTAGTTATATCACCGCTACGGGGTAGTACGGCGAGTAATTTATAGTTTACCTATCCTCCTCCCCCTTTTCCGCTAGTATTAAGACCCTTACTATTACGTTCGAACCCGTCGCTAGCGATAGCGCGTCCGCTTAATCCAATCGATCAATACCGTGACTACGTTATATATCTTTACCTTAGTAGTATCTCGCGAAATAGGATTAAGTATAAGCTTCGAAAATATTACTATATTGACGTTAATCTTAGTATAATCTCTCGCTGAATCGCGAGCTAGGATCTCCCGCGCTAGTAAGCCCGAACTAAGAAAGCCTAGAGCTAATCGAGACTATGCGCGACCTAATATTTCGGGTTAGATTTACCGAGAAGTAGATACTAAGAGTTCTATAGAGACGGGGCTAGCTAATTACGAAACGAGGTCTAAAGCGTATTAGATTATACCTAGATCGCTACTAGGTACGTAGGATTAATAGCGATAATAAGCGCCTCGCCTTATTTAAGAAAATAGAGTAAGTTATTATCGAAATAACCCGACGTTCTAATACTATTTCCGGATATAGAAAAAGCCTCCTTTAGCCTTATCTATATTAGTAAAAGTAGCTTTAGGTACTACGAGACCCTCTCTTTACTATATATAAAATTATATTCCCGAATAAAATCGAGATTTAGAAAAGAATATTCCGAAGGAAGAAAGGATAATTCCTTATATTAGGACTAAACTATTAATAGTGCATTAATAGCTATAATAAGCTTAAAGCGTATAGATTCGAGATCTACGCCGCTATCGACGCCTACTCGCGTAATATTATCTAGTTCTATATTAGCTACTCCGCTATAACTTCTCTAAGCGTTTTAAAGTAGTACTTAACTATATATAACGCCTACGGCTTTCGGCTATAGTATTTATAGGCGGATAGAGGTAGCGAGACGCTATTAATCGTAGTAGCGTATTAGAACTTTACCTTAGCTATAGATAGACGGATAGAGTAGAACGGTTAGGCTTTCTAGTAAGGGAAGCGCTTAAAGGATTCCTATAAGGCGGTACCGAGTACGAAAAACGTTAAGATTGAGAAATAGTAGGAGAGTATACTATATATCTCCTCCTGGTAGTAGGTAGATTACTTTAGCGAGCTCGCTAGGGACGGGGACTTCGATAGCGATATATTAGAGGATTAGATCGCTATTTACGCTGTCTTTAAAGATATATTACGCTAAGAACTCTTCGATTTTATAGAGGTATAGAATCTTTATCGAATCCGCCTTTAGAAAAACCGTCCTTACGTAGTCCACGGCTAACCCTAGATAAACTACTATTACCCGGATCCCGATAAGGCGTATAACTAAGGTATCCCTATTAACCGCTTAGTTCTAGCCGAGATAGAGCGACCGTTAGCGGGTATTAATATTAGCACTTACTTAGAGCCGGAGATAAAATATTAGTATCGTTAAGTTCTCGTCGAAATAGGCTACGATAATACGGTCCTTAGGATTTAATAGGAACCGGATAAATTACGGCCTTTTAAGCGTTTCTACCTTAGCCTTCGAGATAGGATTATTCAATATATCGAAAGAGGCGGCTAGCCTATATTAGTATATCATAAAGCACTAACCGGAGGAGTCGCCGAATATATACGTCTTCTAACCCTTTTAATCTAAGTTGAAAATCTAAACGTATATAGTAAGAATTATATAAGCGAGTAAATTAAGCCCGCTAAAATGAACTTAAAGATAGGGAATTAGCGGAGTAACTATTTATTAAACTAGGATATAAGGATAAAGAAGGGAACGACCTAGAGGGAATAAATAATAATAGGGGGGAAAGCGATAGTTCGAATAGGGAGCCCGAGTAATTAATCCTTCCTTTTCTTATATCGGATAGTAAATATAATAGGGATCTTAGTCCCCTTAAAACGTATAGAGTATACTAGTAGGAGCTCCTTAGCATTATCGTTAAATAGTTAAGCCTAATCACTCCTATAACTTTAAGGAATAGACCGCTAAGGTTATCTATTTATATTAGCGCTTAGCTCGGTAATAAGGTAATCTAGTCTCTTACGAACTCCGTAGCTAAAACTTCCTCGCTATCTTCTTCGTCTACCTTATCTCCTTTATCTAATATGCCTCTATATCCCTCGGCAAGTTCATAAAGTGGATTCTCTATTTTATAGAGATCGATTATATCCTCGTATTTAACGGTCTCTTTAATAGTATTTCTAAGCTCGTCGTCTATTAGGCTCTAGTAGGAGGGACTTAATAAAGGCTCTTCCTGCTCTATCTTAACGTATATCTCCTGCCTAACTTTATCTATCTCTATATTGCCTTTCTCTTACTTTATCTGTTTTTCCCTCTTAATTCGCTTCTTATACCCCGAAGCAGGGCTCGCGTCCTCTCGCTTAACCTTTCGTTTCTTTTCCTCCTTAACCAGTATCGAGTATTTATCCGGCCTTAACGGTATAACTAGCTCTTACTTATCGATAATATCCGTGGACGTTAGGACGACTAATACCTTTAATTGCCCTGCCTAATTATTCCTAAAGTGCCCCGATACGAGTATATTTAATAGTATCGCGTACTTATCGGTATTAGGAACCGTAATAACTTTCTTATTAGAGAAGCTCGATATATATAATAGGGTCTAGAGATCTTTATTTATAATATCGATCGCTAGCGGAAGAGGTCGGAGATAGTCGAATAAAATTGCAATAAATAATAGCTAAGTTAGTAGATCTACCGAGGAAAACTTAATTACCGTATCCTTTAGGGGCAATACCGTCTCCAGGATCTCGACTATAAGCCTATTAAAGTATCTAGTCTCTAGGCTCACGAGTAAGAGGCTAATATGAACCTATTAGTAGCTAGTCCGTTACTTTATAGGCTTTCTAGTATTACCTTTAGAATTCTAAATAGCTCGATTAGCCGCTAATACGATAGTTATAAACTAGGGATTGCTTAAGGCTTCGGAGGGAGGTATACGTACCCATATATTTATCGGGCCTAGGGTAGAGGCTTCGTTAGGGAGTAGTTAAGCGGCGCGTCTAATGCTAATAGATAATATAGGCTTCGGTTTATCTCGTAATAGCTAGCTTACTAGACTAACTAGTAGTGGCGGAGAGTCCTTAACCTCTACTACTTTATCGTATAGGCCCGGAAGTATTAGAGTTTTAGACCTAGCTCGATACTATAGCCGAAAGGGGTTAGCTAAGCCGTAACGTCCGTAATAGTTCGTACTAACGTATATAGTAGTGAAGAGTTTATAGTGCTTTTTTCCGGCTTAGACGTAATAGATATACTCCGTAGGGATCTTTTAAGGGCCTATTCCGGCTAAAAGAAGAAGTAAAAGTACGAGGAGGGGAGAATAAGGGGAATCCTATTTAAAAATAAGGCTTTAATTTAAATAGAATAATACGATATCGTCCTTTCCTATAATAGATAAGGTCGCTAGGCTTATTTAAGCGAAATGTCGCTACGCTAGTCCGCTACTAACTAGGAGCGGGATTATTACGGTAGCCCCTCGTTAACTCGTCGCTACGCTATTCCTTACTATGAGTTAAAGAGAATAGTAGCTAGGTTTTCGCGATTTCTAGTAAAGGTGCATCTCGGCCGCGATAATATAAGGTAATAGCGGTACTTAAATTAGTATAACGAAGACTAATTCGGATTACTGGAACTATTTTTTAGATATATAAATATATAGCCGTAACCTGATCACTATTCCTACCTATAGTGTTGACCAGGAAATCAGACCAGTCGGACACCGCGCGAGCCCGCTGCGAGTCCGCGGTATATAATTCATGGCGACCTGAGGTACTCTGATAACTAAGGGGAAGAGCCCCTAAACCCAAAAGGAAACGACCGGGGGTTTTGTAATAGTGTTCCCTATCGCCCACTATACCCCCCCCCTTCGTGCGTGGGCCTGTTATCCCCAAGCGTTGCCGCTCTTGCATGCCTGGCGGCGTGCATAAGGGCGTATGATCAACACGCAATTTGTGGGGACACTGACATCGGGGCAACCCCGTGGCAATAAGATAGGAGTGTCTATAGCAGGCCATCTACCAAGTCCCTAACGAACTCGTTTCGGGGTCCTCGCAGGCCCCTTGGCATACCTCCTCCTGATCATATATCGTCGGCCGACCGTCATCCAACGTAGCACTTATCTTGTTACCCCCTTTCATTGCGACCCGCCTGCGGTGACCCTTCAGCCCAAGGTTTTCCTTTCATCTCAACCGTTTTGTTGACCATGGCAGCCAGACAGGAAACGACAGTTGAGTCCCCGCCATCGGAGCCTGATCAAAGTGACACGTTCGTTCAGTCCGATGCAGCTCAAGGGACGCTGAGCAACCAGCCAGTTGCACATTGGCCTGTGCCCGAAGAGGTTCGTGAAGTGGTGCGATACAAAATCATCGAGAAATGAAGCTGATCAAGTATTATCATGCCTCAGGGTTTCGATGTTGACGACACCACGTCCGATTTCGATGAAGGCGTCGCCAACAGCACGACTTCTTTGTCATCTTCTATCTACGAGTACAGGAAGTTTCACGGAAGAACCTTTCATGGCGATCGAGGGGATGCCCAATACTGGCAAGTCCTTCGCTCTTGATGCTTTGTTGCACATCTGACATTCTCAGGGCTTCCAACGACGATAAACAGAACGAATCTCTCGATATCGTGTACGCTTGACCTGATAATACAGCTGCTCATGCATGCTGACCGCCCCTTAGCCACCACGTTCATCTACTCATGCTCGATAATCAGCTGTTCAAAGCACCTCTGACGGACGTCCAGGTACGATTCTCATGCAACGACATTTGGATAAATTATAACAATGTAATAGAAAGTACTTGATGTTGGCACAGGGACAGGTTCGGCCCTACTGATCTGGGATAAGAGAACGTCTACTAATGATAGCACCTATGACAGGTATTTGGGCAACGTGAGTGTCCTTCTGAACAACCCTATCCTGTTTGTTTCTTATCAAAACGCAGAGACGTCGGGGACAACTATCCAAGCGCCGAGGTTATCGGAATCGATATTTCCCCTATCCAACCGTTTTGGGTTCCGCCCAATGTTACCTTGTATGTTCTAATATGATAGGTTGAGGGCAATCTTTACTGACACAGTCAACGCTGCCAGCCAAATCGATGACTGTAAGCTGGAGTGGACTTTCCAAGATGACTCGTTTGACTTGATCCATATTCGTTGGATGTTCGGAAGCATTGCAGACTGGAATGCTCTATTCCAGCAGGCCTACCGATGTCTCAAGCCTGGTGGATGGCTCGAAAGCCACGAAGCCTCCACACAATTCAGGAGTGACGACGGTACCGTTGAGGACGAATCAGCGATGAGCCAATTCAGCGAAGCATTGGTCCAAGGAGGAAAGAAGATGGGACAGTCAATGACTGTCGTTGAAGATGGAACTCAGCGGAAGGCTATGGAAGCAGCCCAATTTATGAACATTAGGGAGCAGGACTACAAGGCACGTAAACATTCTTGGGAAATCTTGTTATGGAACTGAACTGACTTTGCTGTAGACTCCCGTGGGAGAATGGCCAAAGGACAAGAGGATGAAGGAGATTGGCAGATATCAACAGGTTGCAACCGAGAATGACGTCGAGGGTGTTTTAGTCTATGTTGCTCAACTACTGGCTTGGGAACCCGAGGAAGTCCATGTCTTGAGTGCAGCTCTTCGTGCTGAACTTCGCTCTCGAAAGATTCATGCATACTACAGACAAAAGATCGTCTACGCTCAGAAGCCAGAGTAACAGGACTTTACTTCCACATCCCCTACCAACTTGTCTCTACATAGACCTCGTGTAGCCCCAAGGAAGCCTCAGTTCATTATCAAATTCATGCCCTGAATGCTCGTTTGTCTCCACCGCTCGTTCTTCTGGATGCCTTGGCTCACCAGCTTCCGATGATTGCATGAACATGGAATCAACTTGTCCCATCTCTTCTGGGTACTGTTCCAAGACGCTTCTGACTGCCGGTATGTTTTTCAAGACGATCCAGTGACCTTCCAACTTTCTCCACTTGTTGTGTAGTCTGTCGACTGCAGACTGCGACTCTTTGAGCTTGGTTTCTTTCCCGCTTCGATACTTTCGCTGAGCAATTCGAATTTGAGTGCGTCGACGCTAATTCTGTTAGCTCGTTTGGCTTGACCGTCAATTTTGAATAAGAGATGGGCTGACTTCTTGAAGAGTCACAGCTGTGTCTTCTAACCTCGGCCTTCCCCGACGGAGTCGAGCGCTTTTGTCCTCGGTCTTTCCCGAGGTCGGCTGGCGTCTTCTCGGAAGTCGTTGAGTTTTGGCTACTTCCTGTGCCTGAATCTGATCGCATTGCACCCAACTTTCCCGAAGTCGAAGGGACGACCGTGACGCGAGAGACTGCTCTTCATTATATACGTTCTGCTGCTTGGACGAATCGTGGATCTCGTGGTAGTTGTAGCTCGAACCGGATAGATTCGGAAAGCCCAAATCGTGACGAAAAGCTCCGAGAGGCGTCTCAGAGATCATCCGGTTCTGTTGTCTCTCGTCCTCGGATATCGTGAGACCTTTTGGTTGTTGTGAGGATGGGTAAGAGTGACTGATAAGACTAGGTTCAGTAAATCCTGATAAAGCTCTTGGAGGAGCCTGCAGGCAGGCGGCATTGTACTGAGGATCCATGAGAACAGTAAGAGTGTTGATAAAAGACAGAGGGTCTGGACAGCAGTTTACGGTACGTGACAGCGGGAAGAAGCAGTTCAAGTAGGCGGCCTTCTAGACGGGCACGGTAGGGTGCCGTTAAAACAATGTTCCCAGCTGGCGCTAGCTTTGCCTCGCTGAGCCACGCATAGCGACGGTCAATGATCCAAGGGTGCTAGCTTTCCCCACACGCTTGTCCATCTCAGCGAACCCTTCCAGCACCAAATCGGAGAACCCCAGCCCTAGGCACATCCCTGTCCGACTGCGACATTTCAGCAACTAAAAACACGAGGCTCAAAACGCCTGACGCTCTGGGAACATGAGGGAGCCGCATATCCATATGAATGAAGGTTACATGCAAAATGGAACGCCTCCATTATACCAAGGTGGCCGATGCTTCATACTTCCTGAGCGCCGCATACAAGCATCTGATCTACACCCCCATTGTGTCACGACCTCCAAGAACGCCACATCGGGTTCAAGTAATGAGCCCTCTGCCAAGGGTATTCCCCCTGAACGTCTGAAGGAGAAGACGAGTCACGAGAGTAACCAACACCGGACCACGAGCTTGGCCCGAAAAGAGGCCGTCCAGAAGTTGAACAACCTCGAGACCGTAGGTGCAGCCGCATACGCTTACTGTAAAGCGCCGGCGTCCTGGTGCGGATCTGATCCGCGACGAAGTGGGGTGAGGGAAGACACTTCGAAATGGCCGGTCATATAGGTCGCTCGTGGAGCGAGCATACCCCAGGCGATAGTTGTGTGGACCTATTAAGACAAGGCACGAAAGCTTTTGACGCCGACGACAATGCGAGCTCGGAACGTGACTCGCTGTCTCAAATGGAGGTGTACTAGGAAATGAATCCATCTTGGAGTTTCTGATCATCAGGGCGACAACATGTCAGTTCCGCCTTTCTCAAGCTTTGAGCCAATCGTGCAATCAGAGGCCGGCTTTCTAGCCGTCCATTTGTATCTGGCCAAGCATTAGTACGCCTGCTGTTCGTAGTATATCGTTCCTCGGATGGCTCACAGATTGCAGTACGCATGAACCGAGAGGCTGCAAGCTTCCCGTGTAACCTCGCCTATAAGCTTAACGACTTCGTCCTTTGACCATCGCTTGCCTTCTGTGAGGGGCGCAAGGGTCATCGAGGGGACTGCCTGGGTTAGCCCGGCATTGAACCACTTGCCAAGCTCCTTCTCGCTTTCTTGGCTGCCCCACGGGTTGATTGGGAGTTTCGTGACAGTTTCGGTGACCGCTACAAAGCCGGCCTCTTTAAGTTTGCTTCTGATCTGCCCATCGACCTCTAGTGGTACCCCTGCTGTACGCAAAGTACGATGCAGTGTATCACTCCATATAACGAGAGCTGAGTCGGGCTCCAGAGTGCCATCATCGCTGAAGAATTTCCATTCGATTTCGACCTATTCTAAGTGACCTCCGGGTTGGAGGTGACTAGTCGCAAATTAACAAGAGCTTTGAGAACGTGCGGCGCGCACTAACTTATAAGCCTGCTCGTAAATGGCTTTCCAATCATGAATCGACCCGAGGAGCAGCTGAATGTGGATCAAGTCGTAGTCGGGCAGCTGTGGCCAGGGCTTTTCGATGTCTGCTTGGATGAAAGAAACCGTCGTTGGGATACTGTAGTCGGTCAATGATGATAGCGAGGACACCAAACAGCAAATAATGACCAACCTGTCTGCTGTATAAGCGAGATATCTAAGCCATCTACAGGAACGTAGCCTTGAGGCCCCTTCTGAAGTAAGCTGTGGATTCGGTCAGTTTGTTCTGGTTCAAGCCCCTGTCCTTGATTGCGACTCACTCAAAGACGCTGATCGCCCACCAGCCGGTGCCTGCCCCGAGATCTAGTACACGAGACCGTGGGAGCAATTCAGCACCAAAGAACTCTCCATGTGCGCGGTGCAAGACTGAACTCAAGAGATCTAGCAGGCTTTTATCTCTCTGTTCGAATTAGACAAGACTTGAGCAGTGGCGTTATTATGAAGTCTCACATCATCCGCGGGGAACATGTATGATCCCCCACGGAAAGGCCCATGGCGGCGGCCATTGTTTTCGAAACCCTTGACTTCACTGTCCATTTTTGTCGTACTTCGGGGAGATGTTTGAGTGTCAGGGCCCTCACTGCGGCAGTCATGAAACAGGAGCCGTCCGGACGTCTACAGGCGCGGCAGCTGTTGAACAGCTATATAAGGAACGCGGAGGCGGCCTCTAGAAGTGCGGAGGCAGATTTCAGATGTTATTCTACCCTGTACCTACCTGCCAAGTGACTGCGGAAGCGAAGTGCGGAAGACCTCTTCACTCTACTCATCTACGCGTTCTGACATTGAGATACTTCTACAAATGTAGAGAAGGCAGAATAGACGGACAGTATTGTTGAGTTTGCATCGAAGGCGTTAGAGTCTAGCTAGTAGGTCGCCATGGAGATGGACTTCCTTCTAGCTCTAACTAAGCGAGACACGTGACTAGCTGGTGACGCAGGCCTTATGCTGCTTCAATTTGGGTTGGCTGCTTTTGCTTTGCGTTAGACCAGCCTTGTGAGGCACCAAGCGAAGCGAAGAGATCAGATCTAATGAGTACTGCCCGCCCCAAAAAAACCCGTCCAAATCTTCCAGATCACGTGACAAAAGGTGAGGTACCGAATCTGTGTATCTCAGACCGCACTGGGGAAGGTTCGTGACCGCATCCGAGACGACAAATTGTCAACTTCACTTTTTCGCGACTAGTCCCAGCAACCGACGTCCCTCACTGTCATATCGCTCGACACCTGTAGCCTTCCATCCGACGCGTTCATATTATCGGACACCTTTTTGCTGACAGAATTCCTCTCTCACACTTCAGACAGCAACATGATGGTATGCAGCGTCTGGCACCGCGGCAGCTGAACGTATGACCTGTACGGTCGCATTGACCCGGAACCGCCTCGATTGTTGCCCATGGGAATTCATTGGATGCTGCCTACCGGCATCACGACAAAGAGGAGGTCATTTGTTGTCTCCGATACCAACACGATCCCCGCCCCAGGGCCCAAGTTCACAACCGTCTCTGCACTGATAAAATGGTCTCGATATCCATGTCGATGATGACGCCCGTGGCCTTGTTGCTTGCACCGCCACCAATATAACAGCCCTGGGTGCATATTCCTATTCACGACGACCGGCACCTGAACAAGGAGGTGGCTGATGTGGTCCAGGATCATGAGGGCTTCCTCCCTCCGTCGGCTCGCTTTCCTTTCACTTGTGTATGAGACGAGCTGTGGCGTTGTATTAGAGGAGCGAGCGTCGCCTCGACGTCCAGGTTTCACTGGTTTCTGTTCAGCGGTGTCACCACGGTAATGCCTGACTCCTATGGGATCTGTCCGCCTTCCCTGTAGTATCTGCTGTTCAGGAGGGCCACATTCGACCCCTCTTGCGTGCCTTGCCTGACTCATTACAGTAGCCGCTGAAGTCGAGGATCTCCTGCGGTTGTTTTTTTGTGTAGTACGCCACCCGTGGTGAATTGGTTCCACAGCCCGTGCGCTGTCATGTTGGGATCTTTGCTCTGCCTTGGACGAGTTTTCGGCATTCCCACAGAACGGCCGAACTGAAGAGGAGAATCGACTTTTCCTGTACTGGACGGATTTGGTCGAAGTCCCCGCAAAAAGGGGGGTGGGGATCTCGCCGAAGTCTTGCGTACACCCTCGCTGTTTTGCGGAGCTGTTCGATGTCCGCGCTCCGAACACGCTGACCTCGACCACGATCAGCAACAACTTTCCTACCATTTCCGCGGTGCTACTTTCGCCCACTTGGAGACTAAGTGAGTCATGCACCGCGAATTCGTTTACGTCCGCGGCCCGGCCTCCCCTTGGACCCTTTTCTTTCTAGAACCTATAAGCGGGAAGGAGATCACATTTATGTGCCGCCGCCGTCCCAGAGTTGCGGTTAGCAGCGAGTGATACATTATTCCGACACCCGCCAGCAGGCCGTCGATGGTTTCGATAAGCTTTCGCCCCCAAATGAGAGACCTTAGGGACACTAATTTCGTTGTGCTTGATGCGGTCCATTTGTCGGGGCATATATTCGCAGTGCAATCTTATGTTCTCGGTTGAGCGTGAACAACTGGGCAGCTTGTCTCGGAGAACTTTATTGGCGGGCAAACTGGATCCTCAAAGTAAGACCTGCGACCACTGTACGCCTCTGAGTCGCCGATGGACACCGTTGCCATCAGAACCATCGAACACAGTTTACACCGCTAAGCCAAGGCTAATAGTGTCGTTCCTTTACTGGCCCTGCATTCCCTGGGTCATGTTCTCTTTTTCTCTCTTGACGCTTGTCTGCTGCGACCTAATAGATCTCAGTCGTTAATGTCAAGGGTCGGGCCCCAGAGATCCTCCTAGAGCGCTCCAGGTCTTCACCCTTCGCAAGCCTTATCGTGCTACAAAGCTTTTACTCAACGCAGAGTCGAGAAGTTTGACGTTATCCGCGATGAAGGATGATCGTCGCGGGAGAACTTGCCTATAACTCTCCCAGGTGGCGTTGATATCCCCTCATATCGTGCCAGAGCGGTTCTCGCAGCACAAACGTCGCGAGATACTGAATGACAGCCCTCTCAGAATATCGTCAGCACCACGAGTGCCTATCAAATTACTTACGCTCTGGCCGCTTACCCTCTGTGATGGCCCTTGCCCTCTCCGCTGAAGTTTGTACCAAGTTACCCGTATAAGCAGACGGCAGCATCCTGGCAGGTGTGGTTTAGTAGCCAATGATCACAGCCTGATGCGCATATGCTGAAGGGTGACGCGACATGAGAAGTCACATGAACAAGCACAGAACAGGGTCGCAGGTCAGCCAGCATGTCATGCAGAAGGGTACATAAGAAGCTGGCACCCACCCGGCCCTCGCATTTCCCTCTTCCATCTTCCTCTCACACAACCAGTCTTGCATCTTGGCACCTGCCTTCTCTCGGATATCCTGCCTTCATTGATCTCTCAGTTCAGTAAGATGATCCACATGACGCTTCACGACCAGGAGAGTCTCGGGCAAGTCGCTCGCCTCTGCAAACAGGCCCAGAGGGTCATCGTAGTCACAGGTGCCGGCATCAGTACTAGTGCGGGGATCCCCGTAAGTGTTCCAAATCTTGAATATTGCTACCCTTACTCATACTAGAACGAGGACTTTCGTTCTGAGTACGGGACCTACTCCACTGAGAAGAAGGGACGTAGCCTCCGAGAACTTTTCAGCGCATCCGCTCTCACGCGACCAGAAAAGAAGCAGAACCTTCATAACTGGCTTAAGACATTGCAGCATCAGGTGAAGCGCTGTGAACCGACTCTCACTCATAGGTACATTAAGGAGCTGAGCAGTGCTCGCCGGCTGCTCCGCCAATACACAATGAACATCGACCAGTTCGAGGCAAAGGCAGGTCTGTCCGTCGACCTGCGCCTCGGTGCAGGCAGTCGAGGACGATTTCTAAGGGGCCGTCGACGCACCCAGACCCCTTCCACGATCAGCCGGAGAAGCAAGGCATCCATGGACAGCGGGGTTGATTGCGTCTCTCTACATGGTTCTGCCGCGCATGTACGTTGTCCCAAATGCAGCATGACCTATGCCTGGGAGGAGGAAAATCGCCCTGGCAACCCTTGTCCTGGTTGCTCCAAGAGGTCCGCTGCGCGAACGGAGAAGGGCAAGCGAGCCCTCAGCATTGGATGCCTGCGGACAGACGTCGTTCTCTATCATGAGACCGATCATCGCGCGGACAAAATTGGTGACATTGTGGCATTCGATCTAGCCAGCCGACCGGATCTTCTAATCGTCATTGGTACGAGCCTGCTGACTGACGGGGTGAAGAAACTCGTGAAGGATCTGTCACGATACGAGAAGGGGGGAAAACCATACTTGTGAACCGCACGAAGCCTTCACAATCTGTCTGGGGCAATGTCTTCGATTTCTGGGTAGAGGGTGACTCGGACAATTGGGTACAGACTGTGAGATAGTCAATGATTGCAGTTTATGTCTTTTAGTATCAACTTCAGTCATCGTCAGTTAGTTGTCGTCATTCTACCTCCGTGTGCGGGAGCGGAAGAAGGATTTCTGGCACGCCTTGGCCGTACTTCGCAGAGGAAGCTTTGCTCCAGGAAAAATCCTGAACTCAGGTGCTCGTTTCGTGGCTCGTGCACGCACACCGCCCTTGATGACTTAGTCATCATGCTTAAGCTGCGTCGATTCGATGTCACATGTAGCCCGCATCCCCGCAGCCTGCACGAGCACCCGTAGGTTCGATCGTCATGGAACTGGAAATGACTAAGCGCCACGATGGGTCTGTTGAGACATCATCCAAGCTCTGGTCCGTATTTATCCCGAAGTAATTCCGATATCAACAATGGGGCAACCAACGGGGGTCAACAGCCGGACTCCAAAACAATCCGACGCCCTTCAAATACATGGCCTAACTTCTTTCCATCGCAAGCTCTGGCCTATGTCGATATTCAACCAGTCGTTATGGAAGAAGAACTTGCGAAGTTGCGACAACAGCTTCGGAACGAGCAACGCCTACGCGAAGAGGAGCAACGCCTACGCGAAGAGGAGCAGCGCCTACGCGAAGAGGAGCAACGACGACGCGAAGTAGCTGAGGGTCGTGTTTTAGAGGAGCAACGTCGCATAGAAGAAGAGCAACATTATCGCAGAGAGGCAGAAAACCTTGCCAGTTCGTCCCGACCACTGTCGCTCGAGAAATATCTCGAGGCTTGCCACTCTCTCAACCGTGCGATCCAGGTGGTAACTGATCGCTCGCTGACCACGCAAGGCGAGACAACAGACCCTGCCGGCCGAATTTTCCCTCGAAGAATTATCCCCTGGGACGACTTCGCGACGAATCAAGAGGAGATCTGGGAACAAGTGTCAACTGGCCAGTCATTCACCTCCTAGTCTACTTTCCCATCCCAACATCAGTTAGAATACGTCAGGTCCTTGCTCAACCCCATAAGCAGTGAGGTTGGGCTTCGAGATTTCGAGCGCGACGTCGTCGAGAACTCGGTTTAGAAGTTAGTAGACGAGGCATATAAGGATGTGCGACTACGAACTAGTCTCGATCTCCAGGGAACCGTGACCTTCGAAAGCCATACGAATCTCGGACCGGTCGACGAGACCATCTCTGGGTCTATGCAGCAGATGTCCATCCACGAACGCCATACTGGAGCAAACGCGTTAGCCCCAGGGTCACTGGGCCATAAACCCCGTCGCAGGGCGAAGGGGAAAAGCGGCCAGGCAGATCAGTTCTGTATCTATAGGACTTCAGATGGTCGAAACGCCCCCGCTCTTGCGATCGAGTACAAGGCGCCCTATAAACTTAGTATGGATGAGGTCGTGGCAGGTCTGGAGTTAGAAATCCAACCGGCACGGGATGTTATCAATTAAGAAGGCGAGGGCTTTGCCTTCACGTCGAGGTTACTGGCTGCCGCTATCATCACCCAGCTCTTCTCCTATATGATTGGCAAGGGTATTTAATACGGATACGTTTGTACTGGGGAAACATTCGTCTTCCTTCACATTCCCGACGATCCGACTGTTGTCTACTTCTCTGTGTGTGTGCTAAACATGGACGTCCTGGACGACGACGAGAATAGGCTCTATCGCACGGCTGTAGTACAGGTCTTTGCCTTCATTCTCCGAGCCCTTAGCGCAGAAATACCGCCTCAGGCCTGGCACGACGTGGCTGCTAGGCTTGAAACCTGGGCTGTGGAGTATGATGATGTACTGAGGAATATCCCCGAAACGGTGCGTAAGGGCAAGGAGCCTCGTGCCTCTCCTTACAAACCCCAGCGGTGGCGAGGCTTCGACCGCTCACCGATCCGAACACGTTCTCACTGCCGGCCACTGGATGAAAAGCCCGATGGTCGAGGCGATGACAATGAGGATGATGATGAGGCTCCCCCATCCCCTACTCCAAAACGATTATTACGTTCCGAGGATCAGAGGAATATCTCGGTAGCGGCAAGCTTAGTCGGGAATCGAGGGCAACGCAGCAAACGAGACCGGCGGCAGGATCAAACGACGCAGCGAAAAATCTAGGATCGGCCATTCTGTACTCAGGGATGCCTTTCAGGGGTAGCTTTCGGCGGCCTAATGGACAAGAAATGCCCTAATTTTGAAAATCACGGACCCAGGCATATCGACCGACCGGGGGTCCTGCGTCTCATCTGCGCTCAGCTTGCTAAAGACCGTGGCCCCGATGCCGATTATATACCCCTTTACCTATCCGGAGCAGTAGGGTCGCTCTTCAAGGTGCGACTATCTTCCTACGGCTATACGCTCGTTACTAAAGGCGTAGAGAGTTTCGATCTCGCTCGGTTGCAGTACGAGAACGATATGTACGATCGAGTCCGGTCTATTTAAGGGAAATACGTCCCGGTGTATCTCGGTAGGATGGATCTGATCCTGCCGTATTACTATAATAGCGGTATGTTTAAGCACTTTATGTTTCTTAGCTAGGCTAGGCGGCCTTTATTTAAGTGCTACGCCTAGATCGATAAGCGGACTATTATCGATGTAGTTACCGTAGCCTTCACGGAGCTATATAAGTTAAGCGTCCTCTATAACGACGGGAAGCTTCGTAACATACTATATAATGGAGGCAGTAGTAGAGTCATAATCGTGGATTTAGTGTAGGCGGAGCTCTATAGTCGCTAACCCCTTAGCCCGATTAGTCCTAATAGCTAGGCTCGGAAAAGGAAGCGAAAGGTAATAAAGAAGCTAGGAAAGGAGCTCTTTACGATTAAGTTACGATCTATAGTAGAGTGTATCTCGAGGCTAGCTAACTAAGTTAAGCTTAGAGTACGGGAAGCTGGGCACTTAAGAAGATGCCTTTACAATTGCGCATAGGGTCTAGCAGTCAAAGGTTATTATGAAGTCTGCGCAGATCGATGAAATTCAGAGACAAACGAAACAAATCTTACACCACAGCTTTCTCACCTCTTTCCGCCAGCGCCCCATGTTTCGTCCTAAGTCAAGGTTCAAAAGGGTACTCCTCTATGCAAATTATTGGCCTTCGTAGCGCAGAAGGCTTCAAAGAATTACATTTAGGTCACTTGCGATCCATTATGATATTACCTTTGCAGCAAAATTTGGGAGAGAAAAAGAACATGGATCCAGAGTCTCCGAGACCCGCCCAGTTAGACGGCACGGTATTTCCTAGCAGAATAGTCCCATACTTCATGAGGTGCTTAAGGTCGTGCCCACGTCCTTCTACCTTGACTCCACCACTTCAGCCTGCTGTAGATATCTGGTTCGGTTAGATAGACTATTCTGGTAAGGTGCTTATCGGGATTCACTTGTCAGATTGATGCTTTAATCTGCTTTTAAGGGTGTCTGAAATCGGGTTTATTGAATATTTCACCATTCTGCCGCAGAGCGGTGAAGGAGTGGGGTCAAGTTTGTCACTCGATAGAACCAGTACAAAACAAGGATCAACGAAGTTACAACCATCACCAGGTCCTTTTAATATGAGGATTCAGCCAGGAGTGACGAGTTCGATACGTTAGGCACCGAGTATCTGACATCACTCATTTAGAACGCGCTGAAGGTCGCTTTTTGTACCTAGAACAGACAAGTCAATCAACCACAGACGCCTCGGTGACACTGTGTTCTATTAACTGGTGCAAGCGCCCCGTTATAACGAGTCAAAGGTGTGGGTCCCCGGGTACACCGATATAATTTGGCGGAGGATCCGGGATCGAAACCCTGCCCAACGAAGAACACAACATAACCAGAATGAAGACACAATCACCAGCCCCATCATCACTAGACTGACCCTGAACCGTACAAAATAAAGTCATTCTAACTGGAACCTGAATATCCACTCGCGTATCAACAATCAAGAGTCTTAAAACGCCCTCGAGCCGGCCGGATACGAACGACGATAACGCGATGTCAGTCCATTACCTCGCATCGACGAGAGCCCATTGGCTGCGAGCGCCGCAGGACGGGCCAGGAGGCCCGCTTCCTTAGGTCGTTGGTTGGGTGTGCCAGGCCTGAAGAATGACTCCACCCCTGGCCATGCCTGCTTCACACCTCAGCTGCATTCTCGGTGACGACTCTCCTTTTTTATTTTTTCCTGAAAGCCGGCGAGCTTGGTTCGACTGAACCTTGAATTGGATGCGACCCTCTTCCATCGCCCGTTGCGCTCTGCATTTGAGCTGCATCTCCTACTCCATTACGGTCACGATCCTCGTATTTTGCCTTCCTCATCTGCAATATAAACGTCATGTCTCTTGTGGATCATTCATGCCTGATTCGGATGTGCATGCCTCCTCCATGCATGTTCGCCGCTGCATGATTCATATGAGGCTTACATGCCCACTAGCTGCAGCATCGTCTTTGTCCAGCGCTTTCCGCCCCGGCGATGCACTAGGTGGCCGCGTTAAGTCCGTGTAAGAAGTAGTCCACGATGCAGTAGATGTCCATCATCGAAGGCACCAGCGGGAAGAGCCGGCCGTCGTGCGACTCGGCGTAGATGGTTAACTTCAGTGTCAGGCTCCGCGCAGTATTCTCGATTGAGTGGGGTAATGAGGCATTTGACGCCCTCCAGTCTGATGAGACACGGGGAAGATGCCGGTGCGTTAGTAGTTGCACCCTATGACCACCATGCGGGGCATGTCATGCAAATAAACAGGCTCACCGCCCTCACGGCAAAGTAACACGCGGGGGATGTGATCTATCATATTTAACAGGTGACTGTAACAGACGGGCTTTGGAAACTTCATCATCTCTTATTTGCTGGGCTAGCCGGGTATTTCCACGCGACGGTCTATTACCCTGTCTCTTATGAACCAGAGCTTCTCAGTGCAGTGGGAAGCTCCTTGCTGGCGTGATTGGGCGTGCTTGATTTTGAGGCCAGGCCATCCTACTTAACCAGTTTTTAGTACCCAACAGGATTCATTTTTGCATTATTTGCCGATGCCTGTCCCACGTCGCAAAGCACCGGACTCGGTTTGAAACACAGTACAACCATGAGCACCCCTCATTCTGAACACGCCTTCCCAGGCTCCAGTCCCAAACCAGCTGTCGACGTGGCATCATTTGCTATTGTGATAGGACGTTTTGCCGCCAAGAAGCCGGGTTCGAAAGGCGCCAGCTCTGTTCCGGCATGTCCGACTGATAGTTTGCTCTTGCTCGGCTGCAGGATCCCCAATTTGAAGACGGAGTCGAACACAATGATATATCCTCAGAGTTCAGGTAGCGTGCTCTCACAACCTCCGCCTTTGGTCACCCCATATGTGCTGACATGGTACATCGACCTCACTAGCGACGAGGTCGAGTCGACGGCCTCCTTGACCAACAGCATCCGAGATTTTCGCAATATGAACGGCCGCACCTATGGAAATTCCAAGACTACAGACTACTGGTGAGAAATTAGCCGCGATTGAGTTGGCCAGAGGCGATCGCATGGCATGGTTTCGGAACCGTGATCAGGGTTAACTGACATGTTGCCCCAGGGCCCCCAACGACGAGCAGCAAAATGAAGGTTTAGACATCACGTAAGTTTTGCGGAAACCCAGCTGAGATTTGGTGCAGTGGCTGGCAGTATGTCTCCGTGTGATCCAAGCCGCTAAATAGACTTTCCAGGCACCACTACATGCTTCTCTACTTCGATAATAAACTCTTTCAAGCGCCCATCGGCGACCATCCAATGGTACGCCTCCGCCTGCCGAAACCCTTCCCCTTGCCTTGCATTTAGTCGTGAACCTAACATTGCCTTTCTTCCGTCAGAGAGTGCTGGATGTGGGAACTGGTACCGGGATATGGGCAATGTAAGTTTGTGGGTAGCGCCTGAAGCCCGTTAGACGCTAACCCTGGACATCCAGTGACTTTGCTGACCAGTTCCCGGCCGCACAAGTCGTCGGCACCGACATCTCCCCTATTCAGCCAGCATGGGTGCCTCCCAACTGTGAGTTCGTCATGGATGACGCCCAGCTCGAGTGGACCTGGCCAGCCGACCACTTCGACTACATCCACATCCGCGATCTCTACGGCAGCATAGGCGACTGGTCTGCTCTTTACAGCAGAGCCTACCGCTACCTTAAGCCCAGCGGCTGGTTCGAGGACGTTGAGCTGGACATACGCGCGCACTCCGATGTCATCAATGACCCCGAGCACGTCTTTCACCGTTGGAACCGCGTCTTCCAAGAGGCCGGCGAGAAGGTGGGTAAGACATTCAAGATCGCCACTGGATCCCGAATGCGAGATCTCATGGACGAGGTGGGCTTCGTCGAGGTCACCGAGAGAAAATTTCGGCTTCCCATAGGCGCCTGGTGCCTCGATCCTAAGTTGAAAGAGATCGGACAGTTTGTGCAAATGTTTGTAGAGGGCGGCATAGAGGGGTTTGGGCTATACCTCTTGACACAGGTTATGGGATGGAAATATGAAGAGTGCCAGGTCCTCATTGCGCAGATGAGGAAGGCTCTGAGGAACAAGAAGCTAAACGCTTACTATGAGGTGTAAGTCCCATGTTTCATAATGCCTATTGTGTAGACTCTTGCGCTGGAATATACTGATCTGCTTGGAACAGAACCTTGGTGTATGGACGGAAACCCGAGGACTCAACTGCTGTTTGAACGAACGATCAGAGCCATGTCCACATGTGGTTCGTACCAGTAGTTCGCAACTTCCAATAGCCGCATCGTAGGTAAGCAACTCCACTGGGCTGCAGCCCGCTACTGGATCACTTGTCAATCGTTATGCGAGCAGTTGTGAAGCGACGACATCCTCGGGAGGGGAGAGCGCGCGAAGAAGCTCCCAAAAACCTGTCAGGTGTATTGTATGACAGCTGCGTATGGTACAGCAAGGAACGCCACCTTTGCCCCCTTCAGGCAGTCAACAGACATTCGACACCACGCTGCTTGTATCGTATCCGGTGCCATGCAGCATGCCAGAGGCAGATGATGTCCGCCATATCTAACAATACCCCATCTATCCAATTCTCTTTTCGAAGAGGAACGAAGCAAAATCCTACTCGCCAGAAGAAGTCCAACTCCTGTTGCACGGCCGCGGGATTTGTCAAAAGCTCGCCTTCCGAGACAAATTCGTAAATGATAGCGTAGTATTCTTCGTCTTGCAGAACATGCCGTCTGAGGCCGTCCACGGCGATATCAGGGGGTCTCAGGTCAGGGCCCAAACATAATCATGTCACAACTGAGACTGGTTCTGAACCTGTCTCCCTGTTGTGGCTGTGGTCTCAAAAATGATTATATAAGCTTGACACGCCGATTCGATTGTGTTCAATTTTTTTTCCAATCAATCCGTTTAATTTAATTCGTATTAGATTGACCCTTGTCACCAGATAAACCCGATAAGAATTCCTACCAGTACGGTGGGGCCCACCTTTTGGCGTAATGGAATCGGTGACAACCCTACTGTTCGGTTATAATGGCGCTAAAAACCGGGTCTGTTGGATATAACAATATTCCCTCGCTGGGGCGTTAAAGGGTCTCGATGAAAAAGACCTACCCCGCTCGAGAATGATCAGAGGGATCGAAGGTCAAGACAATCAATCAAGACAATAACCAATTTGCATTCATCAATTAGATCCACCCCATCGTGACTAATCGAGTTCACGCCGCGTATCCGACAATAATTCAGAGTTTCGGCAAATACGAGCTGCTAGCTTAAGGCTAGCGAAGTTTCTAGAAAATAGTAGCATGTAAGAGGTCTATAGCCTGACTAACGATATAATAGATAACCCATTGGTGCTCTCTGAACCCTGCAGGCCCTGTAGAGGAGGTATATCAGGATGTCGTATTCCGTAGGGACTTCAGGTCTCCGGTCTGCGGCTAATTATTCGTGAACCTCTCTAGGTAATCTACAAGCTAGCTCTAATGGTCACTAAGTGGATATCGTACAGAATTTAGTTCAGTCTAGTAGACCTCCATCGCTTAGAAGGGGTCTTGCTAGGATGGAATGAACCTGATGTTCGGGTTGACTAGAGAGTCGGGCCGAGTCACCATGCCATGGATCCAGAGAAAAACTTCAGCAATGTCGTATACGGATTGGATTCCATAGATACCTAAAAGCCATAAGAGTAGCCTGTCTTCGCGCCATCCTTTGCAGCCTCGCCAGCTTCTTTAACACTTCACTCTGCTCTCGTACAGATAGCCAGACCAATACAACAAGCAATTGTTTGTCTCCCCTCTCAAGTTTGCTAATAACTCTCATACTGACTACCTAGAGTAGCGCCAATTACAAGTTACCCGGAAGAATGAAGCTTTCTACGCTTGGAGCCCTCATTTCATTGACTTCACTGGTCACTGCCGATCTAGGGACCGCATCCTACTATAACCCACCCTACCTTCCCACTGCCTGCGGCGGCAGCAATCCCAGCCAATTTCCCTCTGGTAATCTGTTCGTTGCTGTTTCAGACGGTCTCTGGGATAACGGTGCTGCCTGTGGTCGGCGATACAGAATAAAATGCCTCAGTGGTGCTAGAGGGTCCTGCAAGGATGGGATGATTGATGTGCGGGTGGTTGACAGAGCTAAGACAACTGTTACCAAAGCAGCACACAAGGCGACCATGATCTTATCTCAGGACTCATATGATGCCATTGTTAATCAGTGGAAGGGAACGAGGCATAAGGCGGTCAACATCGAATTTAGACAGATATAAGAAATTTCTATTTAATATTACAAACTCTCAACACCTTAAATCCCCCTACTCATTGCCGCGGTTATCCTGTGGGCAACAATAGCAAGAGGACAAGTGTTTCAGGCACTATTTAAGTCCCTTGATGAGAGTATGCGATAGGACTATCTTCATACTCCTCTAATTCATCCTCTTCCGGCCACACAACCTTGCCTCCTCGCCTCTGAGTAGAGTCCTTCTTCTCTGGAGTATGTGTCGCTTCTCTGAGAGCGAAGTCCTCCTTTCCGTCGGTATATCCGTGTGATGCGACATGAAACTCGTGCAGAACTTGCTGGCTGTCCTTGAAGGCAAAAGTACCGTGCCAACCATTCGGATCCTTCATGCGCCTGCCATTGATCGTTGTTGTGTCATGAATATCAGCTCTGTTCCAAACCAAGATCGTTAGAGAAGGCTTTTGTGAGAAATGGTGTCCTGGAACAGGAAACCAAGAGGGATGCTTACCTGATCAAAATTGCTTTAGGGGCCGGCTTCTGATCTCGAGCCCTCGCGTATGCCAAAGCAACAAGTGACTGTGTTCTTTTCTTTGAGATAGTATTGCCGGCGCAGAAAAAAGTACTTGACAAAGTTCGCTCCACTGGCAGAAGTCATGATAACGAGTTCAGGGCACAAATGGAGCAATAATAGAAAACGGAGGGCAGAGTGACTCAATATGGAATTCAATCAGGCACAGAAGTTACGAAGCCATCCGTATTATTATGCTTACGCTGGGGTAAGCGCCCGCTCGGAGAAGGGAGGTGTTGCCGATCAGGCATGGTCCTTTCTGCGACCCAGGGGTACTTACCCCTGTGGGTCTGCAGAATCCTCATTTGACGCATTCATTCTCTAGCTATCGCCCCGGTAGTTTTCAATCCGGTTCACGTTAATTAGTAACTGGCCAATGGTCGTCCAGGAGTGACTGCAGGAAAGTCACCTTTTGTACCATAATAACAACATTCAATCCACCTTGTTCAAATTCGTGGTAATAGTTATAAGCCCGGGCGACGATCTAGCTCGTTGACCTTCGATACCTATAGCAGGGCGCCTAGGTCCTAGATCGGGACCACGGCTAGTACGCTTACTACGGAGCCGTCTATAGCTAGATCACCGCTACAGTTCAACAGTCAATCGACGCGACGTTTCGCCATTAACGATAACCGGCTAAGGGCCATCGCCAACATCCTCCAGGAGAGCAATCACCTCTCTACGACCTATCGAAGCAGGAGAAGTGAGCTCCTCGATATCCAATTACGCCTCTGAGCCGTGCGGCCGAGGGCCTGAATGTACGCGGGGTCAATTAACGACATCCAATATATACGCGATTAGTCGCGACTATCGAACGACCTCCCCGACTATCTCCGATAACGCCCAGGGCCCCCTTAAGATGGACTCTAGTAAGCTCAGAGTAATCCTTATAAGGAGGGAGGAATGGAGGACGTGGCTTAACTCCGTCAGAGCCGTAGCGTCCTCCTACGAGGTCTGGGATTTAGTCGACCTAGATAAAGAGGCTGACAGCCGGCCAAAGAGGGCCAAGAAGCCAACAGCCCCATCGCTCGAAGATAAGACGAGAGATCTCAGCATATAGCTAACGTTATACAAGATCCATTTGGATATCTACAATAGGGAGTCAGCGGGCCTCCAGGAGGTCCAGAAATATATCCTTAATACAATCGATAGGAGCCTTTCGGCCGTCTTCATAAACGAGGAAAGCAGCCAAGAATAGCTTAAAGCATTAAAGGACTATTTCGCCCCTTCCGATATAGGATAGAAACAATACATTCGTCAACGCTGGGAAGAGTATATAGCGATGGCTAAGAAGATGGACCATGAGAAGTAGGTTAACGACTTCATTCTGCTCTATATCGACGTTAAGAAGCACGGGATTCCTTAGCTTAAAGAAGCCGTAGATCAGAATATCTAATTCCTTCGAGCAATTCTTTCCGTATCTCCAGGGTAGGCCGAAGCAGAGTACGCCCACTAAGTTCGCCGGGAGCTAGACGATCGTGATAGAGGGAAGGTACTAGCGCTGAGGTATAAGAGCTACCTTAGAGACTATTAGCCGCATCGCCTCACCACTAAACCTTCTTAGACGTCCTTCTATAACGACTCGGTAACCTTTATAGGAAAGGATCGGAACGGTTAAAGTGCTTAGAGGAGTGTCCAGGATCCCCCTCGCGACTCTCCTTAACAGTCAAACAGCCTACCGGCTCGCAGATTGTTCTACGACTGTGTATAGCAGAAGAGGGCACTCAAGGCGTGTCAGCCCATTTATCTGTGCCTAAATATCGCAGAACACCGGAGGAAGAAAAGCTATTAACCCGACTAGACCCTGCTAGACTACATTAACGAAGCGAAGAAAGGGATAAAGCTAAGTATATTATAATTCTGGAATGAGAAAATCAAGGAGGACAAAAAGAAGCAATAAGAGGCAAAAGGCACTAGCGGGGCCGTAGTCTCTACTTTTAACAATTCCTTTAGTAATAACGATGCCCAGAGCTACGAGGGCGAGTATACTAACTATATGAGCAACTTCTCCCTAGCCGAGTTAGACGAGTTTTAGTAAACTACCCGAGGAGGGGATCTCCGTCACGAGTTCTTAATCGATTCGGGTACACCTAACCGCATTACTAATAATAAAGACCTCCTAAGCAGCTTCCGTGAGGCCACCGATACTATAAGATATAGAACGGGGGGAGGCAAATTAAACCCTGTTGAAGGGTATGGCACGATGACTATTGAAACTCTCGATAGTAAGCAGAACGTCATTAGAATTACTTGTTATGATGTCTCGTACATCAGAGACTACCTAATAACGCTCGTTTCAGCTAGGCAGCTCTAGCGTTAAGGACTCGGACTAGACTCGCTTAGGAGTATGCTGTTCAACCTAGCTAGTGGCTCAGAGATCCCATTGCAGGAGAAGGGTGGCCAGTATACAGTGAACAC